ATGAAAACAATAGTCTGAATAATGTAAATAGTGTAAATTGCTAAAATTTATCTAACAGATGATGTTTACAGTGATAACAAATGAAAAATCCATTAATTGTTTAAAAACATACCTTTTAAGTATGAAAATTAAGTTAACAGATATAGAATTGGAAATGTTTTAACAGGAGATCTGCATTTCTTAAATAGGTTATTGACCTTTTCTTTGTAGTGATGGCTTTATATAATTGTAAAACATGCTTGGCTTGGAAATGGTTTCTGAGATTAAAAAGGAATACTGGTACAATTCCTGTTAGGAGAGACATTTTCTTTAGTAAGACTTCTGGTCTCTTGACCAGTAGACATTAATTTCATTGTTTAAAAATACAAATGTCTACTCAAATGTGTATTCACCAAATATAACACATATTATAAGATATATATATATATATAACTTTATAAATGCGAATGTCAGTGTGTCACACTTTTTCAACTTTACTCCTAGAGGACGTAACCCAGTATACCATACCATTTTGGAATCAGGCCAACTCTGTGAGCAAATTAAAAACATTCTGAGCTGGATTTGGACCCATAATCTGTAAATTTTGGATTCCCAAGTTTTCATTACTGCAATTGTTTTTGCTGTTTTTTTTTGTTTTGTTTTGTTTTTTACATAATTTTTTGCAACAATTTTTTTTTGTTCAATAACGATTTTTATAATTTGGAAATAAATTTGGGAATAATCAAAATTAATTGCAAAATTCAGCAAAAGTCACCAATAAAATAAAAATAATTGTTTGTATGTAATGGAGAGACCTACGTACATCAAACTGTCTTTAAATTAAGTGGTGACAAAAGAATTATTGTTGTACTTTTAAAAGGTAAGCTTAAATACTGATGTAATACTTAAATGCAGCAATCAATTTTGAGTTCTTCTGTAGTTTATTGTGATGAAGGCTCAATCAAGAGCCTTCAAACCGAGGTGCTAGCTTAAATGCCACCCAATAGGGCTGCTTTTGCTAATATATATATATATATATATATATATATATATATATATATATATATATATATATATATATATAGGTGTATGCATTCTACCTCTTTTTGGATGAAGTTCTACAAGTTCTAATCAACTCTGAACTGGTTAAGTATTGCACATCACAGAGTTTTTCTTTCAGATCAGCAAGATGGCTTTTGGTCAACTGCTGATAAGTTAATGGTTATAGGTGAAAGAGTCTATCAAGTTTTAGATAAGAATGGTGAAGCTCAGGCAATTGTTTTGGGGATCTCAAAGACATTTAACAGGATTTGGCATATTGGTCTTCTTCACAAGTTGAAAGGTTATAGTATTTTTGGACAAATCTTTGAACTGATTCAGTCTTTCTTATTGAATTGCAAAATGAAAGTGGTCCTGAACAGCCACTCTTCTAGATCTTTTTGTATTAATGCATGTATCCCTCAGGGCCCTTATCCTTGAAACCACATTGCTCCTAATTTTCATCAATGACCTTCCTGATGGCTTCAGTTCTCAACTCGGTATCTATGCTGATGATACAACCATTTATTCCTGTCTTAATAGTAAGTCTGAGTGGTTCAATAAGATGAAATTAGCAGTTGATCTAAAAATGATCTATTTTCTGTTAACTAGGACAAGGAATGTCTTGTTAATTTTAATCTTTCCAAAACAAATCATCTGAGAGAAGCCTTTTTACCATCCATTAGCATGGCTGATGCTAACCTCCAGGAGAGTGATTCATTGCACCTTCTCAGACTAACATTTTCCAGTCACATGAAATGGAAAGAGCATATTGAATCAATTGCTAAGTCTGCTGCTAGTAAAGTTGGTTCCCAGTGCTTTTATCACCAGAATCTATCTTACATATTTATAAGTCTATCATTTATCTGGTCCGGTGCTCTTGCTATATATTTAGAAAATCTTGATAAAATCCAAAGAAGAATCTACAATTTTATTGGTCTTAACCTAACATCTTGTCATTGGTCATTTTCCCACCACTATAATATAGCTTACCTGTACCTTTTATATAAATATTTTCATGGTAATTGTTCTGATGAACTTTCCTCTATGGTGCCTAGATTTTATGAATTTAAGTGCAGTATTTGATTGGTGGCAAGCTCCCCTCATTTTACAGTTGAAATAGCTAAATGTAACTGTAAGTTCTATGCTAACAGTTTCTTCTACTTCACACTTATGGCTTTTTTGGCTTCTTGCTTCCCAGTCAACTTTTATCTCCAAAAATGTATGCAATGCATACAATGTCAATTGTTATCTGCTGTTTTCTTAATTCTTGTTCTTTTATTATTCTCTCTCCTTAATAGTGTTTTTTGTCTCATATTGTCTAACATTTGATAACTCCTTGCATTTTAGTGGCTTCATTGCCTTGCTTGGGGTGAAATGATTAAAACATTAAAACACGTATTCTTTATGCTATATTGTTTGTTTCCTACCTAATAATTATAGGAGCTTGGAGTTTTATGTTGTTTGAAAATCAAAAACAAGGAGTGGCAAAACAGTTATAGTTAGAACCTGGCCTAACCCGAAGCTGAGTTGGTTCAAGTCATCATCTATGAAAGATGAACTCTCCAGATCTGGGATCTCATCAGAAGCTATTAGTTTTTTAAATTTTGATTTCAAACTTTAGTAACAGTCAACTGTTATGTGACTTTGAAAGTTGAAATAAAAAGCAACAATAAAGTGAAGAAAATTAACCGAAATGTTATAATAGAGTATTTCTTTAGAATCTAAAGTCAGTGGCATCAGGTCAGTTTTTAAAAAAATAACACAATGACTCTTTAAACTTTGTTTCTTCTTCTTTCAGAATCTCATCTAAAGAAACTTCCATATTTTTTTGCATATAATGGCCACATTTTTTCTCAAACATAAGAATTTTTATAAATCTAAATAAATAAAGTGCAGTGTACATGTGTCCATCTGTTTTTTGATTTCAACAAACCTGAAGTAACACGTAGTAACTACTGTATCTACACACAATGAAAAATTAAATAAATAACTCATTTTAGGTTAAATTTAAATATTGAACATTGAAAGGTTTAAAAAACAATTCTTTATTAAAGGTTTGACTTTAATTTTGCCTTTCATTGCAATTGGAATTGTCTAATTCAACTGTAATTAAAACTTAAGCAGAGCATGGTACGTTTCTCATGTTTTTTTTTTCTTTTTCTAGCACACATACTGTGACATATTTGAAATTTGACATAGTTCGGGTTGCTTAATGTCTTTCAAGAATGACTTTATATGAAGGGATCATAAAGAATGGTGATTTTTAAAAGAAAAGAAAAGTTACACACAAAATAAATTTAAACAAACTATGGAGATTGGTTTCGTATATGAAGAAAGATTATTCTGAATTAAGGTGTCAAATAAAGATAAAATAATTGTATTACTTCTAAATTCTTATAACTTATGTATCAGGTCATCCCATAAGTTCTGTCCGAAAGTTAAAATGAACAAAATTTAAACAGTATTTTATAATGTCTAATGGAGCTGAACATTATTTTTATGTTTAGATGCATTTAAACTGATCAAATTTTATTTCAGAGAACAATAAAATTAAACTTTGTTTGATTAATACCCTGCTAAAATGGAAGTACCCAAGAATCATTTGAGGCACATAATGCTTTATGAGTTCAAGAAAGGAAACTCAGCAGCCGAAGCAGCTAGAAACATTCACTCAGTTTATGGAGAGGAATGTGTGAATGAAAGAACTTGCAGAAGATGGTTTGCAAAATTCAGAGGTGGAGATTTCACCCTTGAAGATGAAGATCGAACCGGACGTCCAGTTGAGTTTGATGAAAAGCTTCTTGAAGCAGCCCTTGAAGAAAATCCTGCTTTATCAGTTGAGGAATTGGCAGTGGTTCTCAGTTCAAACCATACAACTGTTCATTGTCATCTTCAACAACTTGGAAAAGTTCCTAAACTTGGAAAATGGGTGCCTCATGAATTGTCTGAAAACAACCTCAAATCCCGAGTTGACATCTGCTCTTCTCTCCATTCTCGCCAACTTGTTTCACCTTTTTGGATAGACTTGTGACTGGCGACGAAAAAATGGATCTTTTTTATCAAAATGTTAAGCGTCATAGACAGTGGCTTGGTAAAGGGAAGGACCCCAGCCACAGCCGAGAAGGGAACTTCATGGGCAAAAGGTTCTTCTTTCAATCTGGTTGGATCGCCAAGGAATAATCCACTTTGAATTCTTACCACCTAATGCAACAATTAATGCTCAAATATACTGTCAGCAATTAGAGCGTTTGAACCAAGCTTTGAGGAAAAAAAAAACCTGCTCTAGTGAATCAAAAAGAGGTGATGTTTCATCAGGACAATGCACAACCCCACACAGCAAGAATCACATCACAAAAGATTGAAGAACTTGGTTGGGAGAAAATTCCTCATCCACCTTATTCTCCCGATCTTGCTCCTTCAGACTACCATTTGTTTTGTAGCTTACAGAATCATTTGGAAGAAACAGCTTTGGTAACACAGGAAGAGGTTAAAACTGACATTTGTGAGTTCTTCGAATCAAAGCCAAAAGAATTTTACAGTAATGGAATTAGTAAGCTTGTTAATAGATGGAAGGAAGTCATAGATAATCAGGGAAAATACATTGTTGATTGAGTCTGTAATTAAATGTAACATTTGGTCACTTGTTTTCTTTATTCAAAATTTGGACAGAACTTATGGGATGACCTGATATATAGAATGCCAAAGGTAAAAAGCTGAAGACTCAAATTCTCTCTGCAGGTGCTAGTGGCTTCTTGGCCAGTTTGTAATAAATGCACAAAATGATATTTGTTTTGAATTGGGCCAAATAGTGAATGTAGATAAAGTTTCTCTAACATTCAGTATTCCATCCAACAATTTTTTCTAAATATTCCATGCTAAAATTTGCAGGTATGGGAATTATGCCATGTAATATTTCTGATCCATTTGAAATTTCAGTTTCATCAATATGTTAAACAAGTTTCTTTTTTCTTTTTTTACAGGATAATTATAATAATTTCCTACATGATTGATTGGACTGATTCTGCAAGTATGATTCACTTTTATATTTTTTTTTATAATTTTCTTTATAATTTCACATTCTGAATTTTTTAAATGGGTTCAGGTGTTGTATTGAACCTTCCTAAAATAAATGAATAAATCCTCTCATAAATAAAACTTCGAGAGTTAGGTGAGCAGTTAAAAATAGACGAGTGCTAACCTTTTATTCGGACGTACAAACTCAATCCTTAAACTAACAAGCTCTTGCTTTGTATATTTCAATATAATTGATTCAACCTATCTTCTCCTTCCTATTCTTTCTTTTATTGTAAACAGGCCAGAACATCAGGGATGTTAAACCACTTATTTTCATTCCAAAAATTTAAATGTTTTAAAAAAGGAAATCATTAAGTCCTTGTTACGATAAGTATTCTCTCTGACAGATGCAGTCTTGCCAAGAGAAGATAACTCCTCAGTAGGTATAGTAATACATTTTTTTTGTACATAAATTTAAATCACTACACCTCCTTGAACCTCAGACCAATTTATACCATTAATTGATCTTTTAGTTTTACAAACAACCCTAATTTAATCCATCTCTCAAAGTAAGTCTCTTGATTTCTTTTTATAGGAGATCTGGTCTTGTACACTGATTCTCCTCATTTGAATCATTTGATAGTTTAAAACAAATTTCTAATTTATTTTAATGAGACAGGATACACACATTCTCTCCTTCCTTTCTTGTTCTTCACTTTCATATCACTATTGGTCTTCCTCATCACTCTCAATACCGGATCCATTCATCCTTTCTTGTATCATTTGTTCTTCTGCTTCATCTTCCTCCTCCTTTTCCATAACTTCATGTTCTTTTGTGGTTCTAAATTGGTCTTTGTGATCTAGTATGCCCTGTCGATTCTTTGTTAACACAGCTGTGCTAAATCCCATTTGCACCACAAAATTCGCCTTTTCAGGACTTGAATCTTTGTTCTTTCTGTACCACACACTTTCATTTGTTGCAAATGACATGGTAATTGGAGCTCTTATTTGTTTCTCACATCAATGTATATGGGCTTTGTCTTCTGCCTTCATGCAGAATAGCTCTATAACTTTGGAATAGTCTGAGTAAATAACTCTCTATATCGCAATCCACTGGAGAGAATGCTTTTAATCCCATTTTTACAGTTTGAACCTCTGCAATTCTATTTGATTTTAGTGGTAAGGTGGTTTGTCTGGAATGCAGCCAATACATTTTAACCATGCATATAAACTTTCTTCTCAAAACTCAGGTTCATTGTCAAAGATCAAGGTTTTTAGAACTCCATTTCTCCCTTTCAGTGTTCCTCAACACCCACTTCATCTAGTGGTTTTTCTTCCAAGGCCAAGCTTCAATGACTCAACTAATATCAGAAATCTTCTTTACTTTTAATGTCTTGCATGATCAATATGTACTTCATTTCCATAACTTCCATTACCTTGTGGCCTAGGGTGAATTTTCAGTTTGTCTAAATTTCTTGTCCATTTGGGCTTTTTTAACATACTGTGTTAGGTCCCTTTAATTACCTGGCCACCATTTTTGTAACTTTAACCTTGTCATTTCTGTACCAATATACCTCCATTCATATCATTGACACATAATTAATTACTTTATTTCTCCCATCAATGTGGATGAAGGTTTGATATTCCATTACATATAGTTTCTTTGGTCTAAATTCTTAATTTTATGTTTTGATTTTTATAAGGCCTTCTCAGCCATAAAAAAAATTATTCCTGTTTCCTTTTATTCTATCCATAATTCTATTCAACAATGGATCCTGCCTAATTCCCTCTACTGATGTTAATTTAATGGTAATAAATCCATTTCTAGCCAGTGGAAAATCCTATCCTCATAATTTTCACTTATCCGTCAATATTTTACTTGCTGGGTTTTAACCAAGATAATTAATGACATGCAGAATAATATTTTCAAAATAGAATATCAAACTTGAACATCATAAACTCATCTTATCTATCCTATTTGATTAAATGGCTCCATAACTCTATTCTGGGGTTGAATATAAATTCCAAAGGATAATGATCAAATTTTAATATAAATTCTAATTATTTTTTAATTTCTGGGTACAGCTATCTCTGATATTTTATTAATGAGTTTATCATCCAGCGAGATACCATCTTTGGATATTTGATATCCTAGGTACAAATTTTTTTCACAATTAAACTTGCAATAATCACGATTAATTGTCAAAACTCGCTTTGTTTTACTTTTGAGCTCTTCTTTACTGCCTGTACCACTGTCAATGTCATCCTGATATGCAATTATATTTTTTAATCCCCTCTAAAACTCTAAATGACTTTTTGGAAAATATGACTGGACTTTTTTACTACAAACAGCAGATGAGTCCATCTTAGCAATCCAATAGGGGTGTTCATTGTGGTGACTTCTTGAAACTTGCTATCAATTTGTATCTGATTATATACTGACTTACGGTCCACTCTAGCAAAGTATTTCATACCAACAAACTCATGGCACATTGTTTCAATGTTTGGCAATGAGAATGAATCTGAGCAGATCTGGTGATTCATGCCCACCTTATTATTGCCACAAATTTTCAAATCTCCATTGGGCTTGCATATCACCACAATGAGTGAAGCCCAGATGCTACCACCCTAATATTGCTTGTTCTACTATTTTGTTCAGCTTAGCAACCCCAATAGTAGCATGTGAACAGGAACTTTTCTGGCTTGAAAATACATAGGTTGACTTTTTTCTATAAGCCTTATACCCCCTTAATAATTCAATATCTGGTTTTGCAGACTCCATCTTTGATGTAGCCATTCTTAATGTGTCAATTCCTAAAAGACTGTTGCTGTTGCTGTGATAGGTATTATCTTGAATTTACTTTTTGTCCCAACCATGCCTTCAAAGTATCCTCAAATTTTGATGATTGACCCATCAAACTGTTTCAACTAGTGATTACTTTTTTTAACTTTGGTCTACCCATTCTTTACCCAAAATTCTTTGGTATCAATGTTACAGCACTTCCTGTATCCACTTGCATGAGTAAAGTTATTCCATTCAACTTCACTATTTCCCTACTTTTATGTTTTTTATCTCAAATACTTTCAATTGGAGGCTCTATATTTTCCTTTTTTTACACTTCCTTTTCATATGTGCATATCATCTGCAAATGATTCCTCTTTTTACACTTAAAACACCATTTCCCAAAGGCTGGAAACTTATTTTTGCTATTTTCATATTCTTTATTGCAATATCTTTTAGTAGTACTGTAAGTCTCCATTCTGCCTTTGGAGGCATTAAATTTTTGAATCAATTCCAGTTGTTGTGCTTCTAGATTCATATTATGAGCTTGAAGCTGCTCTAGAATTTTATACTTGTACAATATGTAAAACATTCCTTCAATCAGTCTTAGCAAAATTAGCTTGTCTTTGAAAAACATTTGTCTAATTTCAGAAATTTAGTTCTTTTCTGCTATGACCAATCTTTTTTGGTTGTACATTTGCTTTTATGATGGCAGCAATTTCTTCATACACTAAATCTTCCAAAACTTTTGGATAGACCATGACAGAGATTTGTTTATGGCCTCACACCCCACTGAGGCCAAAAACAAATCAGTAACTTCATTTTCTCCTCCACTAAGCTATGGTGTCCTTTAACATTTTCACTCTCACCAATGCTACAAATCACCTAAGCCAAGTTTCCACATATTTAGAATCCTTCATCATGGTTAGGTAACCAATTGTCCATGCCATATTGTTATGATAGGTATTCTCTCTGACAGAGAAGGTAACTCTCCTGTTAGTAAAGTGATACTGCCTTTTATACAGTATTTAATTTACATATTACTACACTCATTCTTCTTGTGTGAAAACCAGTTGGATGTTTAAAATTTTATTCTGTTAACATTTCATTCAGTAAGACATCTTCAGAATAAGTGAAAAGTATAAGGAAAAAATCATTACAATGGCAACTTTACTACTTATAAATGCTGTGGTTAATTTGAAAATTTAAAAAAAATTAACAGTTAATAAAATTGAAAATAAATGTCTGTTAAGAAATTAATGAGGTTTTGCATATAGGAAAACGTTAAAATGTAAAATAAATTGATCTGATATAGGAAAAAATAGAAATTTATGGTAAAAAATAATTGCATATATCTAATGAAAATAGTCATACATTCAAATTATAATTTTCTTTTCCCTTTTCTTACATTCTTTCACATTCAGTAATCTCTTGTGTTTTAGTGGCTTTATTGTCTTGTTTGGGGTAAAATGATTAAAAATAAATGATGATAATATTAGGTGATAAGGAAAATATAGAATTAAATTAAAATATATAATTAAAATTTTACAAAGGTGTTTAGCCAGTATCTATTTTAATATTTTGTCTCCCACTGTTCGTTTCCTTTTATATTAAAAAAGATTCAGCTAGTATATGCTGAAGAATTGCATGTTGGTTGTGAATGCCTCCAAACTAAACTATTTTCTGTTAATCATCTGAGAGATCCCTTTCTGCCTTCCATCAGCAGTCGTTTCTTGCAGATTGAGTCACAGATTCTTGATTGGATTTAAATCAGGAGAGTTTCCTGGCCAATCCTTAGTACTTTGATTTTCTCACTGGTAAGGCTTGCTAGTGTGTTCAGGCAGTGTTACAATTTTCATACATTTTTTTTATTAGGCAGTGAAGCTTTCTGTGTCCAAGTAGTCTAAAGCATTGCTGGATCAGGTATTGGTTTCTTCTAAGAAGGGGGAGGTAGGTTTGAACCTTACCAGAGGGCACATTTTGTTTAAGATTCTGAAATGTACATGCCAGTAATTTATACTGCTTAAAAGTATATGTATCCATCAAAATACAGCATTTAAGTAATAAGAAACATATATAGCCTGCTTCTAAATTGGATCACTCACAGATCCCAGACACCAAAATCATTTTCAAAGCTGACTCATATAGTTTTTGTGTCAACTGGATTTTTCTAATTTAAGAAGTGATAAAATAAGGAGGGATTATATGAGAAATTGCCGGAGTGCCTTTCA